TTGGATAGGGATTGCATTAAATCTGTAGATTGCCTTGGGCATTGTGAAGTCCAGTATCTTTTTAATGGGAGGCTTCAACCTCTACAGGAGAAAAGGCACCATGGGGTTACTGAAAAAGAATCCATCATCTTTTCACGTGGTCTTCCCTCTGAGTCGACAGTCATCTAAAAGCCAAGAAGAAGGACCTCAGAAGAAACCAACTCTGTTGACCCCTTGATCTTGGACTTCTAGCCTCCAGATATACGGGGAAAAAAATTTCTGTTGTTTAAAAAAAAAATCCATCTCATTTTTGTTTTCTATTGACAGGGATTATCACATCATCTCCCCCAAGTTTATTCCATAAAGATATTGAGTGGAGTATATTTAGGGATTAATTTTTATAGAATTTGTAGTGATTTTTCTAAGAATGTAGATAACTAAACCACATGGATTTCCCCCCCTAGGCATGCTGTCTTCTTTTAAATACAAATGAATTATGTACCTATCAAGAGGCATCTGAGAAGGGTTTTATGAAGCACACCTTTTCTTTTTTCCATTTGTGGCCTCTTAGAGCCCTATAACAAGGATATTCTATCATGGTTCCCATCGCTCCAGGAAGTCCAAAGTCCACACATTTCACTGGAAGGCTCATGAGTATGCTGGAAGCAAGGCTGCACTAAGGGGTATTTAGATACGGACTGAGCAAGTCTCAGGGTACTTTATGACAGTCTTGCCAGAAGTCAAAGGGCAGTCTACCTAATAGGTCAACTCTGAAAGGGACCAGCAGGACCGCAGCTCTCACTGGTGAGACTTAAAAAGAGACCTTGAGTTAGAAGATGGATACTCTTACCTTTTGCACTGAATCTCATCATCCTCTCCTAAGATCTTGGGAGGTGACATGCACAATAATCTTCTTTGCTGAGGTAGAAGATACTGAAGACTATGAAACCCTGACTTGGGACCTTGCAAGAGGAGACAGGGGGAGGACCCAGGAGATGAGAATTCTTCCAGTGAAAGGAAGATTTTTAGAATGAAGGGGCTTGAAGAAGCTGTACACCAGCTGGATGGTAACATGTCCCCTCCCAGGTAGTGATCCCTTTCTGAAAAGGGTCTGAACATGCCTGCACTGCCTTAAACTAGTCCTGGGTCACTTAATAGTGGTAAAGGAGAAGGGAAGCCTGTCCATCCAACCCTTCCCAGTCTCCAGGGAAGTGAGGGCTGCAACCTTTCAATGGGATTGTGTCAGAGTTTTGTGGGTGTGGATGAGGGAATTTCAAGAACCAGAGAGAGCCCATCCTAAAGCCACAGCAGGCAGTGGTAGACCCTCCCATGATGCTGGAGGAGAAATCTGGAGAGGATGATGTGCAGTGTCATTAACTACAAACTTTCTGGTAACCCCAGTGACATCCAGAGGGGCAGAGGGGCACTGCAAACTCTTGTATAGCTTTAGTAGGGAAGAGGGTGAGACAGTGCATGAGAGACCAGGACTATGCACAACCATAGTCTTCTGAAAATCTTTAGAAAGATCAACATTTCATCTGCTACTGATGATCAAACTGTTAGTATTTTATAAATGGAAACAAAGGATTCTTAAAGGTAATGGTGGTAATTGTTTTAGTAATTTAGATTTTTACATTAATCTTTTCTCACAAAGTAGGCTGCAGTCACCTAGGCCTTCTGTCAGTTCCTACAATTTTCCTAATGCAAGATCTTTGCTCAGGCTGTTTTCTCTGCTAGAAACACTCTTCCCCTGCCTTTTTTTCTTTTTCTTTTTCTTTTTTTCAGAACTGGCTCTTTCTCATGCATTATGATGATTTTTTAAAATTGAGGTATAGCTGACTTCCAAATTATATTAGTTTCAGGTATACAACATAGTGATTCAAGTTTGCTAATAAAACAGAAAATCATTAACATGAAAAAAAAAAGCCACTTCATCTGTTGATCAAATGTGTGATCAAGTGCTGACCAACCCATAATTCTCTTCCCCTCCGTGTAGGAAGGAGGAGGAAGGGGAATGGATGGTGCCCCACAAAGTGCATGGGGAGGTGGACACATGTGCTGCTCTAGCCGCTGTGGGGGAAACCTGCTCCATAACAGAAAATTTGACTCACTCCGTCAGCCAAGCTGGAGTCAGAAGGAGAGGCCCATGTTTTGTCACTGAGATGCTCACATGTGTAAAAGGATGAGATGTAAATTTCCCTTGCATTTCCAACACAAAAGCTGGTGTGCGTCTCAGGTGGCTGAATTCTTGCCAATGAGATCCTAAATGCAGCAAAACCAGGGGCCGCTTCATGCCTGTCCATTCTGAAACTCATTGGAACATCTCAGGGAAAAGTCCTGATTTGAAAAAGTTAAGGTTTTATATACACTTGGATTTGACCTCAAACAAGAACCTTGCATCCTGCTAGAATGCTGATTGCACCAGAGAAGGAGAGAAGCTGCATATATCCAGAGACTTGATGAAATCATGTGCCCTGGGAATGGTTAAATTGGGAGGAGCTTGGAGCAGGGGAGGATAATTGAAGGAGCATCTGTCCTAAATTAGGTGACTCAGTATGGAACTGTTGACATTTCTCCTGATATTTCACAGCTGATCATGGAGCTACCGCCACTAGTTTCTTCAACAAATTGAATGATGTTTTTTAGCACAGGCAGCTCCTGTTTTCTGTCTGTTATGTGCATGCTGATGCCATCAAAGAAAAAGTCCAACTTCTCTTTTGGAAACTGGAAAGGTTGTCAGCAGCTTCAGAATGATGCAGTGTATCTTAACCAAGCAAAATTTTGCCTGAAAGAAAAATCGTGCTACCCTGTGTACAGATGGGGTCCCTGGATACTTGGCACTGTGCTTGGCTTTCTTGCCTGGTGGCATGTTAGAGTGATTCACTGTTTTTGATATAAGCGTGTGTTGACATCAAAACCCTGTCAAAAGTCCTGAAAGAAGTCATGCTTAGTGCTACGTGAAGTGTTAAATTCATAACCAGAAACTTTCAAGAAGTTTTGTCAAGAAATGGGAGCCAGATAGAAAGCTCCTCTCTCTTACACAGTTTACTGGTTTCCCAAGAGCAAATCTTGAAACAAGTGGTTGGATGTCAGATGGAGATTTCCATTTTCTTAGAGAAAAAGAAAATAAATCTACTCAGTTTGGGCATGGGAACAGCTCATTCATGGCCTGACTTATCTGACAAATATTTTTGGTCACATACTTGAGTAAATCTTTTGATTCAAGCTTCTGCAGTGAAATTATGGGTGTCATTGAAAAATTACAAGCCCTTTGATCAGGCTGCTACTGGAGGTGGCCAAGTATGTAAATTTTCGGATGAAGATATACTTTTGTAGCCTGGAAAAGGGGATGCTGAGAAGATAGCATTGTATATAGACCCCTGGCAATGTAGTAGCATTTGTTTGAAAATATTTTGCTCAGATGAAATAGGACTTTGGATTTGATATTCCTTCCTTGCTGACAAAGATAGCACCAATAACTCAGACTTTGCTGAAGATACTGTGATGGTTAATTTTCTGTACCAACTTGATTAGACCATGGGGTACTCAGATATTTGGTCAAATATTCTGGGTGTTTCTAGGAGGGTGTTGTTGGGTGTAATTAACATTTAAATGGATAGACTGAGTAAAGCAGATTGTCCTCCCTAATGTGGGTGGGCCTCATCTAATCAGTTGGCCTGAATCGAACACAAAGGCTGACCCTCTTCTGAGTAAGACAGAATTCTTCTTGCCTAACTGCCTTGGAACTGAGATATTGGTGTTTTTCCTGCCTTTGAACTCAAATTGAAACACTGTTGCTTCCTAGGTCTCAAACTGCCAGCCTCTGGACTGTGAACTACACTATTGGATCTCCTGGGACTTGCCAGGCTCCATAATCACGTGAGTCAATTTCTTATTATCTCTATATCATCTATATCTATTTCTATGTTTATCTGTATCTATATTCAAATCCTTTTGGTCTCTTCTCTGGAGAACCCTGACTATTACAGATACCATCATTGATGTAAGGCCACAGAGATGACTTGACTTACAGTCAATTCAGAGACCTGGAGAACCCTAGTGTGTCTGGACACAAGATTATTTTAATCTGGCAAATCAAGTGATAGTAATTTTTATTTCATTTACTGCAGAGAATTATTGTAACCTTAAGAACTAGCCCCCAAATTCCTCTTTGAGAGGACTATCTTTGTTGAAAGTTATTCTCTGACAAATGTGTAACTGGGATGGATTTTGCTCAAGTGCTAGAACTGGTGATTTGCCCCTCCTTACCTCCAACTCCTGCTTTGAGGCACTTGTGCAGATCCTGGGCTTTTGAAAAATGAAATGTCTATATGACCAGTTTTGGATGTAGTTGAGTCCAGATAAATGTCCCTGTGGTGGATGACCCATGAGTGGCAAGCCCCCCACATCTGCCATGGAAAGTCAACACAGCCCCTGAGTGTAGTTCCTGAGCTGCCTGCGACCCTCAGTGGGGTGGCCATGGTGGTGGCTTGGTATGGGTACAGCTTCCATCAGGCTCCCTGCAGAAGATGATTTAGAGATCTGGCTGCCCTTGATGGTGACTCTGTTCTTTCACTTGCTGCCCCTCCCCACCCCACTTTGTGATTCAGCTCCTCCTCTGACCTCCTCTCAGTGATGCTCTGGTACCCGCTCTCCTCCCTGTCACCTCTTTCCCCAGATAAACCTCACTGAGTTCCCATGGAGATTTGAGGGTGGCATTGTTGGCTCCTCCTTCACTTTTCTTTCAAATGAATTATGATTAAATTCCACACCCTGTTTCCCACTTAACAGCCCACTGTAGATGTAAAACAGGAATCAAAAGTTGAACAAAAACCCAGAAATCCCACAAAGCCCCCCAAAACCCTACATGATGCTTTTTGTTTCTTATATGCCTACTTTTAAAATTCTCATCCTTTTCAAGGTAATGTGGCTGCCTCCTGTAGACTGGGGAGGGTCAGGACAAAGAATGGTACGGGGACAATAGGAACAAGATCATCACTAGGTAAGGGGGAGCCCTTTCAGTGTCTGGATGTCAGTGAGCCCCAAGGCTTCAGAGAGTGAACACGATTGCTTTGTCTAATAGAAAGAAAAATTTGGAGTCAGTAAAATGGTACAATGTTACTTGACGCGACCTGTCTGTGCCCTCCACCAAAAAGTAAAAAAATTCAGTCAAATCTATTATTGTCACAAAAGCTTGTGTGTAAGAAGGGGCTAAGATGGAATTAGTGCTGGGTAGGGAAAGGCAAGAGGTAAGGACATCAAAGCTTAGAGATGAGGCCAGACCAAGGCCAGTTGGTGCAGAATTAGTGGAAACCTTGAGGCGGAGCTTTGCATTTCATGAGCCATGACATTATTAAGGACAAGGAAATTTTACCTAAAAATCAAGGGGGCAGCGAGGCCTCCAGCTGTCTTGAAGGTTATAATGATTCACATCTTTGTGATTAAGTGCTTATTAGAAACCAAAAATGGAAATGAATTGGCTATTAAAGCTGACAAGTGTGTTATGTCAAAGATCTCTGCAATTTTAACTTCTTATTCTTGCTGGATAACTTCAGAATTCTCATTTCTAAGCAATCATCAAGCCAATTTTCATTTCATGTGAACAATTGGATTGATTTCACATTTTCAGAAAGTTGCCACTAATTTCTGCAAGGGAAAAAAAATAAGAAAGAAAGAAAATGTACCAGTCAGGGCCGATAAAGCAGAAAAGGATTTTATTGAGAGAGTATGGGTCTGCTTCCAAAGTTTCCGGGAGAGCTGGCTGACCAGCCTTGTGAAGTCAGCAGGAACAGTGGTGGACCGGGTAGCCAGGGTCGTGGCCGGCATCGCATCACAGAACCGAATTCAGGGAGGCACCTTGCCACCTCTAAAGGGTCCTGGATGCCTCAGTTTCACCACTGCTGCCAAAGACACAAACATAGCACCCAGCTGCTCTGGCTGGGCCACTGTAATGGATTTTGTGCTGTTCCTGCCTCTCTGGCCAAATTGAGAATGCCAGGCTGGTGTATTGAACTGGCCCAGTCTTGCCGGTAATCCATGCCCTAAATGTCAGAGAGCCAGGGAAAAAGCATCTAGGTTTTGTGACTCTTGTGGTGGCAAGTAAGCTTGAACAGTGAATGAGGCTAACAAGGGAGGTTAAATGAAAGATAGAAATGACATCATTTACAATTTTGGGAGAATTTTTAAAATAAAAATTTTTTAATGTTGCCTATGTGAAAGCAATAAACTTTCAAAGCAATAATATAAAATGTATATAAAAATGTCCATGGTGGGTGGAGGAGGGCTAAATTAGGAGTTGGGATTAACAAGTACACATTACTATATATGAAATAGATAAACAACCCGGACCTACTGTATAGCACAGGGAATTGTATTCAATTTCTTATAATAAGCTATAATGGAAAAGAATCTGAAAAAAAAAGTATGTATATATATGTATAACTGAATTGCTTTGCTGTACACCTGGAACTAATATTGTAAATCAACTACACTTCAGTAAAAAACAAAATTAAAAAACAAAACAAAAATTACCCATGAGTGTTTGTAGATATAATTTTGGTGGGGAGTAGATGCATAGGTTTCATAAAGTTTCCAAAAACTTACCATCTTCATATTCTTTCCCCAATGCCAAATTTTCTTTCTCATCTTCATCTAGAGAGTTTGACTGCATCACACTCAAAGCTCAGAATGTCCCTTGAACATGTGAAAGTTGCTTAAATTCTCTCATAATAAGAAAAGTACAAATTTAGGTGACAGTAAGATACCATTTATTACCAGTTAGATTGGCAAAAACCAAAAAGTTTGATATCATATTCTGTTAGTGAAGCTTTTGGGAAACTGGCTCTTTCTTACACTGCTGATGGGTATGTGAAATTGTCTGACCCTGTGGAGGAAGCTTTGGCAATACCGAGCAAAATTATATATGCGTAATCTTTCTTCTAGGAATCCATCTCAAAGATGCACTGGCAAAAAATACAAACATGTGCACAGAGCTTTTCATTGCGGCATTATTTGTAATGCTCAATGTGGTAAGTAGAATTCTAAGATAGACCCACCCCTTCTGAGCCATCCATTCCCCCTGCAACACATGTCTTGTATGGCCCCTTCCTCTTGAGCGCAGGCGGAATCTGTGAACACGATAGGGTTTTACTCTCAGGATTAGGCTACATTACATGACAAAAGTAAAGGACTTTTTCAGGTAAAATTCAGGCCCCTAACCAGTTCACTTTGAGTTAATCAAAGGGGGATTCTACTGAGTAGGCCTGACCTAATCAGATGAGTCCTTGAAGCAGAGATTCTCTTGATGGCTCTTGAGAAGTAGGCTACCACATGTGAGGGGACCTATCGAGGGGGTTCTGTGGTTAGGACCTGAGGAAGGCTTCTGGGTTGTGAGAGTCATCCCAGATGACAGCTAGCCAAAAACTGGGGATTTCTCTTTACAGTGATAAGGAACTGAATTCTGCCAACACTAACGGACTTGGAAGAGGACTCTGAGTAGCACATGAGATCACAGCCTTGGCCAAAATTTTGATTTCAGCCTGGTAGGATGCTGAAGAGAGGACCCAGACAACCTTGTGCAGATTCCTGACCCACAGAAACTGTGAGGTAATCCATTTGTGCTGTTTTAAGTTACTAAATTTGCAGTAATTTGTGATGCAGTAGTAGAAAACCAATACACTGACAAACAAAATACTACCAAATGTCCATCAATAGGGGACAGATTGAACAGACTATGGTATATCCACACAAGGGAGTACTTTGTAGTTGTAAAAAGGAAATAAAAGATCTAGGTGGTTGATGGTGTTTTCGTGGGCAATCTTTTGTATAAGAAAAGGGGAATGTGAGTATATATACACCACTGCTTCTATTTTCAGAAGGAAACAATGGGGTGACTAACCAAAATAAACAAGTATGGTTACTTAGAGGGGGAGTCCTGGATCAAGGAGGAGGAGATAGGACTCATGTGAGGCTTTTGTGGGTATACCTTGTTGTATTTCTTGACTTTGGTTCTTTGGTTTACATAATTAAAAACAAAATGAAAGAATAGCTAAGGAACTATTAAACATTAAAGACTACTGGAAAGAGGGGAGGGTACAGGTCAGTGGTAGAGTACATGCTTAGCATGTGTGAAGTCCTGGGTTCAATCCCCAGTGCCTCCACTAAGAAACAAAAAGCAAAAAACCTGAATATATGTATGTATATGTATGATTGAACTATTATGCTGTACACCAGAGACTGACACAACATTGTAAACTTACTATACTTCAATTAAAAAAAAAGGCTAATGGAAATAAGCAAATCTAGCTGTGTATCAATTTGGTAGCATAATCACACACATAAATGAATTATTTAAAGTAATAGCAAAGCAGTGTTTTGACTGTTCCTTCCTAGTGGAATGTATCTAAGGACAGATTTATATAGGTGCCCTAGAAAGCCACTCACATAGTCCAAGTAGGGCAAACACAAAAGGTCCACACCCAGACATATTGTAGTAAAAAGAGTGAAAGCCAAAGACAAAGAGAAAACCTCAAAAGGAGTGAAAGAAAAGACCCTTCACATACGAGGAAACTCCTGTGAGATTAATAGATGACTTCTCATCAGAAATGACATGGGCTGAAGGTAGTGGGATGACATAGTCAAAGAACTGAAAGAAAAAAATTATCGACTAAGAATCTTAAATCCTGCAAAAAGGGTGAAATAAAGACATTTCCAGATAAGCAACAATGGAGACAGTTGCTAGACGATCACCTTTTCTGAAATACTGAAGAGTTCTTCAGGCTAAAAGCAAGTGACCCCAGACCTTAATTCAACTGCACACTCAAAACCCAAAAAGTAGTGGTAAAGGTAATTAGATAATTATAAAAGGTGCATGTTTCTTCTCTAAGCTACAAAAGTAATTGTATGAAATTATGTATATAAACAAATTATTGGTCCTAAAACACATAGGAATGCAGCATATTTGAACAGCACAGAAGAAGTGATTGGGAGCAAAGCTATGCTGGACTAAGGAAATGACACGAGCTGGTAACTTGAATGTGTGGGAACAAAGGGAGAGAACCAAAAATCATAAATAAGGAGATTCACGAACTCTAGATATATACTCGCTCTCCTTTATTCTCTCAACTTCTTTAAGAGACAGAACTATATAAAGTAATAATGAAAACAACATACTGTTGGGTTTGTCACACATATAGATGTAATATGTATAACAATTATAGCACAAAAAGAGGAGAGAGAGAAAAGAGCAATACCCAAGAGAGTTGAAAACATGTCCACGCACAAACTTGTACACAGATGTTCATCACAGCATTATTTCATAATATACAAAAACTGGAATCAACTCAAATGTCCATCAGCTAATGAATGGACAAAGGAAATGTAATATGTAATATGTAATATGTAAATGAATATTATTCAGCCATTAAAAGGAGTGAAGTTCTGATGTGTGCTACAATAGGGATAAGCCTTGAAATGCAAAGTGAAAGAAGGCAGACAGAAAAGACTTCATAGTGTATGATCAGTTTATATGAAATGTCTTTTATGGGCAAATCTATAGATTCAGACAGTGGGTTAGTAGTTGCCTAGGGCAGAGGATGGATTGAGGTGTAGGAGACATGGGAGTTACCACTGATGGATATGGAGTTTCTTTGTAGGGGAATAAAGTGTTCTAAAATTCATTGTGATGATTGCACAATTCTGTGAACAAACTAAAAACAATTGAATTGTATACATTAAATGGGTGAGTTGTATAGTATGTGAATTATATCTTAATGAAGCTGTTAAAAAAAGTCTTATGAACTCATGTCAACAGTGCAGAGTAGCCAGCTGGGGAAAAGGAGGTCCCAGTGCACCAGACAATTTGAGCATCAAAAAGACTGGCTGCATTGAGTTATAACACAGCACATATATAAAAACTAGTGAGTTTGTAAATACAGCAAGACAAAACAAAGAAAATATCCCACATTCACCACTGGAGGTTGCCAGAGCTCCAGTCATTTCTCTGGAAAACTGAAAAAGGGAAAGAACCTCACTTGCTCTGCCTTATCTGTGTGAATTATATGTTTATGTAACTGAAGACTCGATGAAGGAAGATTCTTCCTTATAGAAGTTCAGCTAAAAGATGCAGAAATAATGGTAGAGTTAGAAAATCACTGTAGATTTTCAGTAAATGGCATCATTTTACCCTAAATCACAAATTGTTTATTGTATCTTCTGCATTATTATTTAATTCCTATATTTATACCCCTGTCTTACAACATTGTCAGTCCATGAAGGCAGGAAGCATGTATATTATACTCCCTTGCTTTCTAAAGGGTCTGGCATGAGCTAAGTTAATTTCTGTAAAAAAGATATGCTTCACTGATAGATAAGAATATGAAATTGTATTATTTGTTTATAGCATCAGGATGACCTTAGTATCTTCTAATGAAGGTAAACTGATTTTCTAAGAATTTATTCCAAGTTAAAAGTGGCATTTTAATGGAACTCTCTTAGGAGTATTATTGTTTTTTCAGTTAGTGGAAGAAGAATGGTTAGTCAGTTAAATTATAAAAAAAACTTTTCTTGGAAATTCATGGATGAGATGTTTTGCTCATATAATTTAGGTTCTAATGTTGACTACTTAATGCACATTTTTAGCATAATTGCTGGAAAGCAATATCACCACAAGTTGAAATAGTTTTGAAATAGAGAAAGACTTAAAATTATAGTGAACATGTCATTTGGAATAATTGGCATTCTAAACAAAGTCTGAAAGAAGTCATTAGAGGTACTTAGAGCAATAGCTGATAGTTCTCAAAAGACCCGTATAAGTTGAATTTATTTACGTTATACATTTAAAGGCTTTACATATATAATACTAAAATTGCTGTCCTAGTTTTTAAATAAGTGAAACTCTTTTATTTTTTCTAATAACTAAATTGTTTGGAATCCTAAAAATAGCTATTGCTGTCCTCAATATAAAGCTTGCTTACCAAATATGATGTCAGTCCCACATTTCAAAAACTTTAAACAGATATGAATATGTTTTAGTTACAATGTCTAAGTGAGACAAATTCTATAGCTTCTTTTTAGCTAATGATATTTTTTTAACAACTTTCTTATTCTCAGGAAATATTACAATTAAGTAAAAATTTGTCATTTCAATATTAATAGATAATTCTTTATTTCTACTTACATATGAAATTTCTTTTCCAAAAATGTTTTGCCTAAGAAAATATTTTCTTCTTGTGGTTCATGCAATATATGAGCATAATTCAATTTACATACGTTATTGGAAAAAGTAAACTGTGATGCTTCTGCTTGAGCTTGAATCAATACTTAATTTTATGTGAATAAATATTTCAAAATTGTATTCTTTACTGCCATCTCTGTCCAGGATGGATTAACAGGCACAGGATTTATCTTAAACAAGTAAATAACCAGACAAAATATATGGAACAATGGTTTTCAGATATTGGACCTCGGACAGTACATGAAAATGATCTCTGAGAGAAGGGAACAAACAAGATGAAGCCCACAGTCACTCAAGCTACAGACTAAAGAGAGTTTCCAGGCTTCAGTGCAGGGTGGGGGAGTCCATACAGAACCTGGCTGTCTCCCTCAGCTGAGGAGACAGAGTGCAGAGTACATGAGGGCCAAGACACTTAAAATGGAAAGAGCAGAGTACTGGTACCGGAGAGGAGAGCTGCATAGCCAGAGAGTTCTGGACACCTGGCTCTCGAATGTTTATATAGAAAGGATCAGACGGAATCGTCCATGGAGCTCACGTGGTGTCAGGAGCGGTTTGGGTTTCTACCAGCCAGAGTGGAAAGGCCTATTTATTCCTAGGACACTGAGAAGAGAGTCAAATGGCCCTGGATGAAGAAGAGAAAACTATGACATACAGGTCCAGTCTGGCCTTTTTTGTAACAGCTGACAAGCTAGCAATTGTTTTTACATTTTTAAAGGGTTGTTGAAAGCAAATAAAGAAGAGTATGCAACAGATACGTGTCCTGCAAGATCTAAGTAGTAACTATCTGGTCCTTTATCAAAAAAGTTTGCTGAGACCTACCCTAGACTAAATGCTGTTTTAAACCTGCCTAATAAAGATTAAAAACAAAAGTATCTATTTCCTAGTAAATGAACCACATCCTAAAACAGAGCCTAAAAATATTTAATGGGAAAAAACTTAGTATCCATTTCTAAGAAAATTTCTGCATCAGTGTTCAAAAATATTTAAAGGATTACAAAAAACCCAGTATCCAACAATGTAAAAATCACAGTGTCTGGCATCTAATAAAAAATTACCAGGTATACAAGGAGGTGGTAAAATCTGACTCATAATGAAGACAAAAGTAAATTAATAGAAACAAAAAGATGGCATTGATGATAGAGTTGGAAAGGACAATAAATTGGCTATTGTAAATATACTCCATGTGTTGAGGAAAGTAGAGAAAAGCATGAGCATGATGAAGAGAGAAATGAAAGGTATGAAATAACACCTAAACTGAATTTCTAGAGATGAAACTGTGTTGTACACCAGATCTCTAGGATTTATTCAACTTGCATAACTGCAACTTTGTATTGTTTCACAAATACCCCTTGTTTTCTCCTCCTTCCAAGCCCTAGCAACAGCCAATCTATTCTCTGCTTCTATGAGTTTGACTGTTTCAGCTTCCTCATATAGTTAACAATATTATATACTTAAAACTTTGCTGAGAGGATAGATCTTATGTGAAGTGTTCTTATTACACACACACACACAATTAAGAGAATGGGAAGAAACTTTTGTGGGTGCTGGATATGTTTTGCAAATTATTTATAGATGGATATGTTTATAACATAGATTGTGGTGATAGTTTCCTGGATATATACTTATCACCAGATTCATCAAGTTGTATACATTAAATGTGTACAGGTTTTTCCCAAACACCATTCTTTTTAATTTTTCACCGAATTTTCCAATTACTGTTTTTTCCTCCAACTTTATTGAGGTATAATGGATAAATTATAAGATATTTAAAGTGAAATATGTATAGATTTTTGTATGTCAATCATTCCTCAATAAATGGATAAAAAGAAGACAGTGTCATAGAAGGCATAAGGATAGATACATAGATCAGTAGAACAGAAATAAATCCACCCATGCATGTACAACTGGATTTTTCCCCTTATCCTTTTACCCTGTTTTTTCATTCTTCATTTCCTTGTCTGACATTTCAGATAGTTATTTGATAATTATCTGTCACTCCCAAATGAATTTTTATGTGGTAAAAAATCATATAACATGAAATCTCTCTTCCTCACACATCTTTAAATGTACAGCACAGTATTGTTAGCTGTAGGCACAATGTTGTAGTATCTCTCTAGAACTTTTCCATCTTACATGACGTGCAGTCTGTACCCATTGGACAGCAACTCCCCATTTCTCCCGCCCTTCAGCCCTGGAAACCATTATTCTATTTTCTGTTTCTGATTTTGTCTACTTTAGATTCCTCAAAGAAGTGGGATCATACAGCATTTGTCCTTTTGTGATTGACTCATCTCATTTAGCATGATGTCCTCAAGGACAGGATTTCTTTCTTTTTAATGGTTGAATAATATGTCATTGTATGTATGTACCACTTTATTTTATTCATTCATTGATGCATATTTAGGTTGCTTCCACCTCTTGGCTATTGTGAATAGCGCTGTCATGAACATGCGTGTGCCTGTGTCTCTTTGAGATCCTGATTTCAATTCTTTTGGATAAATACCCAGAAGAAGAATTGCTGGACCATGTGGTAATTCTATTTTTTAATTTTCTTTTTGGAATCTGCATACTGTTTTCCCTAGTGGTTTCTCCATTTTACATTCTCATCCATCGTGCACAAGGGTTCCAATTTCTCCACATCCTCTGCATCACTTGTTATTTTCTGACTTTTTTTGGATAGTGGCCATTATAACGGATATGAGTTGATATTTCATCACGGTTTTGATTTGCATTTATCTGATGATTAGTGACGTTGAGCATCTTTTTATATATTTGTTGACCATCTCTATGTCTTCTTTGGAGAAGCATTTATTCAAGTCTTTTGCTTATTTCTTAATTGGGCTATTTATTTATTTATTTTTGCTATTGAGTTTTAAGACATATATTTTGGATATTAACCCCTTATCAGATATAGTTTGCAGATATTTTCTCCCATTCCATAAGTTGCCTTTTCACTCTGCTGGAGGGAGGAATTACAAAAGGGCACAAGGAAACTTTGGGGAGTGAATGTTTATTATCTTGAATGTTGTGATGATTTTATGGGTATATTCATATGTAAAAATCCCTCAAATTATATAATTTAAATATATGCAGTTTGCTGCATTTCGATTGTATTTCAATGAATTGTTTTAAAAAATAATAATAATAAATAAAAATAAGATAAAAAGCCCCCAATCCCAGAAATTTACATTCTCTTACCTCAAGTTTTTGTTTGTTTGTTTGTTTGGAATTACATAAACAATTTCTGTATTATGTGTAAATTTACAAAACAGTTGGTTTTTTTCACTTCAAAGATTTTGTTACATGAATATATGTTAAAAATATTCAGAGTTACCAGTACTTTTTATTCATTATATAACATACCATAATTAGGCATATACCAAGCCTAATTCTGGGTAAGTAAAATGTATTAACTCAACTTAGAAAGCAACTCAATAGAACAGTCTTTGGCTTAACATTTTTAAATGTGCTTAAATATTGTCTGATTTCACAGCTGAGAATTTTTACAGTTCTGAGTTCCAGCCTAATCAGATTCTCCCTTCATCCCTTTGTGAATGGAGGAGATTGAAAGCCCCAGGAAAGCTGGCCACGAGCAAAGAGAAGCCAGTTTGTTCTGTACAGAGGAAGCCAGGCCCTGTGGCTTTAGTACTCCGGCTCTTCCCCTAAACCCCAGCTGTGGAAGGAAAAGACCAACGTAGACATTGCAGGATAACCAGCAACAACAGTGGACACAACACCGACTAATGGCAAACACTAAAGAGATATATCAGCTAAGGTAATAGGAAAAGAGCTAACGCTTATCTCTCCACAGTTAAAAAATTCCTCACATACATTATTTCCTTTAATGGACACCAGTCATGGTCCCTGGAACAAAGCAAATGCTCAATAAAAGCTTGCTGAATGAACGTATTGAAATTCCTGCCAGTGTCTAGCAGATTGTAGGCACTGCATTTCTGGAGATAATTCTCCATAATCTCACGTCTGCATATCTTGTGAGCAGAGGAACTGACTACCTTTGTTATGAACTATCTTCTTGAGGGTATTTGTATAGTAAAGAGCCTTGGAAGGTAATGTCTCCCTCCAGAGCAATGGGCAGATTTGCATACTGTCCAGTGTAATAAATATGTCCCTTTTTGGAGCACAGGTCAGACACATTTACTTCCCATTGTGAAAGATTTGAGATCCTTATGTTGAGGGTTCCTCTCCTGTAATGCACTGTGCTTCTCATGCAGGTATCTTTTCACCATCTGGATGTCACATTGTGGTACCTGAGGCTTGGGGAACTGGCACACATGATGGTACTCTGGCTGTCACTGTTGCACCGAGCAATAATCTGTCCTTTGTCTCTGACCCAGGAGTCTTAGGTCCTCTATCAACATCCATTAGATGGTGGGAGGCTAAGGGTTAGTTTGCAAGTAGGTTAAAATCTCAGGCCCTTCCCAGTTTTTTGACACTCTACATGCTTTTTGCACTAAAGTACCTACTCTCAGAAAAGCTCAAAAAAATCCGAAGAAGTAGCCAACTGAATTGGAAAAGGAAAACAAACAAGTCAGCAGGATCTAACCAAAACTGCAACTTCCTCACTTTGCAGAACAAAGCTCCTATTAAGGGGCAAAATAGCCACCATCTTGCATTGGGAAAGAGTATGCGAAAGAGCTACTGGACGGTAAGATCAGAACAATTATAGGGACAGAGGAAAATACTGAAACTAGAACACAATAGGATCCTAATACGTGGAAAGTTAAGGAGAAGAAGTTGACTCAGGAAGCTTCCAGAGATGTCTTACTCCATTACACTGGCATCAATTCTTCTGCAATCTCTGGAAAGCATAACAAATTATCACTAAGAGTGGTTGTTTCTGGGAAGGTGAATGGGGTGGCAGAGAGATGTGCTTTGCATACTTTGAATTTTGTACCATCTTCAGGTAGTACTTATACAAAAAATATATGTATAAAATTCAATTTGAAAAGCTTTTGTGTGTATATGTCCATGAATGACTGAAAAATTGTGCTGAACACTGGAATTTGACACAACACTGTAAAATGATTATGAATCAATAAAAAATGTAAAAAAAAAAGAAAAAAAAAAGCTTTTAAATGAAGTTTTCGGTAAGAAAGTACAAATTGTTTTTAGATTAAAGAAAACTACTTACATGGCAGGGACTTTACCTTTTAAAAGATTTACTGGGAAACTGTTCATTGCAGGCTGGCTGGCAATTTGGTTTTATGGAGGGACAAATGTCCGTACCTTTGGAATCGACTACTCTTGTTAAGGAAATGCTTCAGAATAGGCTCTTTCATTCCAGGTCTGTAAGAAAAAAAATACCCACCCCTTGCTTTGAGATAGAAGTATGAGGTTACTTCGAATCTGAGAATGCATGCATTGTGTTCTGTTTGGTAATGTCAATTAGATGTACATATTTTACTTTTAAAAGAGGGAACAGAAATAGTTTTCCTAAAAGATATTCATTGGGACTATTAGTGCCCTCTGTTTGGGTTTAAGGATTGAATAACTTAGAATTTGAGATGGTCTCTTCAGGAGCATAGCACTTGCTTTTTAGTTGTGCTTCTGGGAAGTCAACAGGGTGTAGTCTGGCCAAGCTTGGAGCCATCGTGAGAGAGTCTGCTTTGGGGCACAACGTGTGGCTCGTGCTCAAACTTCTCTGGCCCAGCACCTGCAGGAGAGCTACAATAGCCACGGCAAACGGGGCCCTTGTCTGGGTGGCCCCACTGCCACTGGCAGAAACTGCAGGGTGTGGTGGGCTGTCTGAGGAGGCCCAGATAGTTGGGAATTAACCCTAGATTAAGTAAACAGTGCTGGAGTTCCTTAGGAATATCTCAGGGTTAGACCCCTGGCATAAGGATGGGGCCTCCTGCAATTGTCAGATAGGACTTGGAATTATGCTACTTATATAAAGTATATTTAAAGGACCTTGTCCTTTATATTAATTTAGGGATCTTCTTTGTTACTCTAAAATGTTGAAATGGAGCATTTTGGTTATTTGAATATTTACTTAAAATGTTTACATTTGTTCAAACATGCTCCATCTTTAGTAATTTAATCATCTATGATATTGATAAAGTAGGAACTCCAGCTGGGTTCTAAATGGGATTTGCCTAGAGTGAAATTGAGGGTTGGGCCCACCAGACACCTATTTGAAGGAGGCTTGAGGAATCTTATTTGGGAAAGAATGAACCAGTTTTGCTGAAAACACCCAGTGGAAAAAACTTAGGAGGACATACTCTGCATTGAGTGTAGTCGCCATTGGAGTCATGTTTGCGTCCCATGTAATTCAGAAAGGCTGTGAGAAACTTAGGAGGCACAATTTCAGTGAAAGCTTCGTATAACATTGAGGCCAGTCCCAGGAGCGCTTTGGAATCCTGCTAACAAAGGCAAACAGTACAGAGCTGTTTCTGTCCCACTTTGCTGTAGATCCCTGCATAGATTAAGTCTCTGAGAAAGCCAGGCAGTTCTGCTGTAAGTCTCACCAGCATGTTGGATTGTGTGCAGAGCTTCCTTCCTCAGGCCACTCACTTCCAAACTGAAGCCTCACTGAGTACTCCTTATTGGTAGTGTCTAAGTCACGTGCCTGAGTTTCCTGGGTTTTACCTTGAAGATGCAGGTCTCTTAATCTTAAAAAATTGCCCCCCTCCAAAAAAAAAAAAAAGAAAGAAAAAAAGAGAAGCTTATTAGTCAGAAAACCTACAAATATCCACTACAAGATGTACCTCCAGAGTTAAGCTATGAGAGTTGGAGCCTCTTATTTTAATATGCAAATAGAAATAGTTGTGATAGTATTTTAGTAATAGCTACATATTGTTTTAGATGTGGATAATCACCTGGACCAGGGGTCTTAAATTTGAAGTGGGATCCAGATAGTTCCAGGGTTGTGTGGAAAATGTTGACTTACCATGAAGAAATGGAAAGCTAATAAGCGTAAGGACCAAGAACTCTTCTGGGGGAGGAATTAATTCTTGAGATACAAGTTGCCACTGAGAAAGGGGGATTCTAATGCAACCTGTCCATGTTATTTAGATTTGTTCCCCGGGCAAGCCCTCTTTGGTCTCGTGTTTGAGTTCTGTGTGAAGAAGGAGAGAGAAACAGAAACCATTTTGCACTTAAATCTCTCTAAGACATCAAGAGAATGCACAAATATCCAAGTGGGTGTACTCAAGTGGTAGCTCCCTGGCCATACAATGCCCCATCCATCACTGGAGGAGGAGCAGAGGTGGAGTCCAGTAGAGACCTGCGGAGGGAGGGCCACAGTGGGTCAGGGAGGGCCCGTGGGGCCACCTGGCAAGACACCCATGAAGAATCTTAGAAATACGTAGGGAAGGGTCTTAAGACATTGATGTAAAAGTAAGTAAAATAGGAGTAAATTACTTTTTAGGCAGGCTGGGAGCTGGAGAAAAATCAGGTTATATACATATTTCAATTTTTGATCCGTTGGTATGTTGTGGGGGGTTGTTTTGTGGCTAACCAGGACTGTTGCCATATGCACAGAGTCACGGCCCTGATGGAATTCAAATAACTGAAAAGGGGCCTCATTTTCATTGGCACCTTACCATGTATTTAAAATACGCACTTAGATATCAATGTATATTAGTGATTGATGCATATTAGCAAAAATTAATTGGTTTTATGAAGGGAAGGACAAATCTGTCAGACTAAGAAAATGTATGATATCAGAGAAACTATTTTTAGTGTTTAAATTGAATTGCTGGTATATTGCAATATTTCAGAAGTCCCTGGTGGAGAGATTTGCCTATCTTCTTGAACTCCACTTTATTGAAAAAAATCCCAATGTTATAAAACTTGAATATTTTCAGGAAGCAAAACACATTTTCAAATGTAAGTTGTTCAAGGAACATTAGATCTCTTATTGCTTGAATCAATGAGAAAGAAGCTAAATGGTTTTAGAAGAAGGTTTGAAGCAACCAAAAAGATAATCTTTTTTTTTTTTTTCTGGTAGTCAATTTGAATGATGAACAAGTGTAGTGAAATGTCTAGCTGTTCAAATTTGACTTTATTTACACATTAAATTACAAAATAGCAGGAAGCTCTCTGCCATTTAAGTTTTCCACTATAAGGCTTATAATTTTACCAGAGTTGAAAACAAATGAGTATTTTTGCAATGAGATTTTCTGTAAGAGGGAGGGTGAAACAAAACTTTATAGCAGTGAAAATCTTACAAAGTGTGAAATTAATTTCAAACTATTTGAGACTTTCAGAGCTCCATGCTACTGATGAAACTTTAGTTTTTAAATAGGTTAGTTTAAGGGGATATTATGTTGTTAAAAACTAAAGGCTCTAAAATATGAAGATTTTCTGCTGTCAACTTACTAAGGGAAGCTTTCACCTTTAATTCCTCTGTCTTTTGTGTTTGATCAAAGGAGTCAGGGTCAAGTGTACAGACCTATTACGAGAGGTACACATCTGAGGAGTAAAGGTCCGTGAGAGGTGCAGTGAGCTATAGCAGAGAGGCTTTCTGGGCTGAAGCCCAACAAGGCCGATTTACTTGGAAAGAAAGGAAGCTGACAAGCTCCTTCATGTCAGGGTCGGATATATAATCTGCTTGGTGATGGAGCTATTTCATAAAAGGAGCTTTATTCTGGGCCTTCATTGTTTTCCTCCTAGTAAATTATTTTGGGTACAAATGCTACCCTGAAGAGAACACAATACATTTTATGAAGTCATTTGGGTTTATGTATACCTATCTCTAATGCATATATTTTAAAAATGCATTATATCATATGTAAGATAGGTATGTCTGTATAATATACAACTATATTTATATATATTTGATGTTCTACTGCTTATAATTTGAATTTCACCTTGACACATTTTCTTCTTCAAAATTGAATGCACGGAAAGACTCCTTTGAGTGACTGTCATGGCTATTAAAGAAAAGTTAGTATGTGGAGATTGTATGAGTATAAAAGTGCTAATTCTCAGGTTAAGATGCTCAGTCACAGGGAAAGTGCAGTTTATTGTGAAATACATCAGAAGTCAAAGGCACAGCTCAGGGCTGACTGTTACTGTGGAGATCCTTGTGGACATCCGACTGCAGGGACAGTGGATTAGGGTGGCTCTCTGGGGCCCATGTTCTCTGGGACTTTGAATGACTGGAAAGCTGGGGGTATTCAAGGAGGCACCTGCATGTTAAAATCACTTACTTCACTGACATACCCCATCCTCAAGCACAATGAAAAAGTGTTTATACACCTTTATGCCTTGATGTGCTTCACAACATGATTTCCTCAGTGAGGCTTCCTTTGATTTCTTAAACTGACTTTATGTTGCATTGAGTATAAATACTCTTTTCCTCTTGCTCTGGTGTTTATCCCCATTCACCCTTTTGATATTTATGAAATGCTTCCCCTGTGATAGATTGCATTACTTGTCAACAGTTCTTCCTCCCCCTCCACACTTGCTGTGTTCACTGTGGGTATAATGTGCTTTCCAGACCTTCTGATGCTGGGCTTGACCACGTGTCTTGCTTTGGCTGGTGGAATATGGGACAAAATGGTGGTACTGACTCCAGTCTGAAGAGACATTGTATATTCCTCTTATCCTCTTGGACTCTGCCATCTGCTATGAGGTGAGCATATACTAGGTAGCTACTGGTCTCAGGATAAGGGATATGTAGTACAGAAATAAACCTGACCAGCAGCTTGAAGCAGAGCTGCCTAGCCCATTCGTGAACCTGTGAATGAGAAATAAACAAATGTTTTTTGTTGTAAGCTACTGAGATTTTAAGGGTGTTTGTTGTATAACAATATCACAGCCGAATCTAATATACTTTCAATTTTTTATTTTTCAAAATTTGAGACCTACAGAAAAATGAAAGAAGAGTAGAATGAGTACCTGTATGCTCTTCACTTAGATTCAACCAATGTTAACATCTTGTTATTTTTCTCTTTCTCTCTAGAAGATTTTGGGGATCATTGAAAATAAGTTGTAAAAATAAGTTGTAGTCATCATAGTATTCACTAACACTAAGTATTTTAGCATTGAACTCTAAGAATAAAGACAATCTTGCATTCAACTAAATTTGAACTAGGTTATAAATGACTAAAAACATTCTGTTAATTTTATTTTAAAAGAAATGCATAAAAATGACCCAAACAGAGTAATCTAATACTATTGTCTTAGCTTGGGCTGTCATAACAAAATATCATGGACTGAGTAGCTTAAACAACAGAAATAAATTTTCTCACAATTCTGGAGGTTGAAAGTTTGAGAATCAGGTGCCAGAGTATGGTGGGGTTCTGGTGAGAGCTCTTTTCCTGGTTTGCCAACAGCTGCCTTCTTGCTGTGTCTTCATGTGGCAGAAAGAGAGCTAAGCTCACTGGTGTCTCTTCTTACACGGTCACTAGTCCCATCATGAGGACCCTCATCCCCGTGACCTCATCTAAGCCTAATTACTCCCCAAAGGTCCTGTCTCCAAATGTCGTTACATTGAGGGACATGCCTTCAATATATGAATTTTTTTTAGGGGGAGGTGGAGGAGCATAATTCAGCTCATAGTAACTACATAAAAGGTGATAGTAGTGTAGAGATACAGTGCATAAAAAACAATCACAGCCAGCCCAGAGTGAGTTGAAACTGTCCAACAACTTCTTGGAAAACATTTTCAATTTTTTAAATGTAAGTAAATGTAATTATTCATAAATGCAGCTACATATATTTTATCAGCATTACTGAGGGCTTAGGCAATGAAGTGTTTTAAGCTATCTAAGTTTAGTGGTACATAAATCCATCCGGAGCCAGCATGCCAGAGAGTGTAAAGAGTTATAGGCTGGCATGAATTCCTAATGTGACTCAGCATAATGCGTGATGCCTGCTGAACACTTTCAAATGAATTGATGAAGATTTCCATGGCCCATATTCCTTTAACTTCATGCTCAAGGTTGTTTCTTGTACTTCAACTATAAAATCCTGCATAAATGCCTAGAAGAGAGGGAGGATAAAATTCACAGGTACTAGACTTGGGCTAGAAATGGAAAGTAGTATAAAACAGACTTATGAGCTGGGCTTTGGCACCAGAGAAACCTGGGTTTGAATTCTGGGTCTGCCTCTCCCTGGCTAGTTTTCTTGGGCAAATTTCTTAACTTCTCTGTGCTCAGTTTTCTCATCTATAAAATTTACTAGTCAATTATTAATTAAATACAGTTATGAATATGTTAGTATTTACAGCTTTCTCTGTAAACTTCTAACCACAATGGACATGGGTCTTTGTTTACTTCCCTTCTCTTCTTCTCCTGCTCTCTACAGAGAAAGGCTGTTCAGGAAGATTTGGTGATAACAAAGGAAAAAAAACAAAACCAAAACCCAGACAGAGCAGCAGGCCAGTCCCAGTCCAGCAGGAGGCAGGGATGGAGGGGGGTGAAAGATGACTATTCTGGGGGTGCACTTGGGAGTGAAGCTCTGTGTCCAAGGGCCCTCATATATATCAGTAGACAAAAATCTGGATTGGAATTCAGCTCTGGTCCTGGTATGGGAGCTATGATTCAACAGGGAGCTTGTGTGAAGCTCCTAAGGCAGGGCCTTGCACATGGAAGTGGTTGCTAGATGGATATTTTAGGGCATTTTTAGAGACAGACAGCACCTGAGAGCCACCTAGTCTAGTCGTTCTCCAACTTCACTGTGAAAACCACCTAAAGTGTTTGCATAAAACATAGGTCCTGGCTCCTACTTCTATGGATTCTGGCTCAGAAGATCTGAGGTGGGACCATGAAAGCTTCCTTCTTCTTTCTTCTTATGTGTTTCTTTTTAAATTTTGAGTCTTCTGATGTATTTCTTTATTTTAAATAAACACTCCTGTGCGTCTACAGACTATAACTTGAGCCTAGACTTAGATGCTGTCATTTGGTAGTTCTCTTTCCTGGAGCTATTCTAGAGAAGTTCTCTTTTACGTGCACAGTAAAAAATAGGGGGAGGGTATAGCTCAGTGGTAGAGCACATGCTTAGCATGCATGAGGTTCTGGGTTCAGTCCCCAGTACCTCTATCAGAAAAAAAAAAGGAATGTATGTGCATACTTATTGCAACATTTTGTCGAGTTAAAAATTGGAGTAAGTCTAAGTAGCTCCCAATTGATGAATAGAGTACAAATGTGTGGTGTATTCATATAATGGAATGTTATGCAATAATTATAGAGACTAAGGGAGAGCTATGTGTTCTGATGTTGAAAAATCTAGGTTTACATTTACTTCCATTATATTTGTGAGGAAAATACCTACATCCGTTTCTATATAGGAGATCTAAACATAACTGTTACAGTTTTGCTAGATAAAGGTGTTTTAAACTCCAAGCAGTATTATAGTTTTAGATATTTAGAGAGTAAAAGATATGTAAGTAACCCAAGAAACGACCTTTGTGGAAGTCATGGAACCATTACTTCAGCTGTAAGCCATCTTCCACTGTTATTCACACACTGCCTATGGAGATGAGTCAAATCCCAAGATATATTGCTTATTGAAAGCAAGTTACAGAGCAAGATATACTCATGTGGAACTATTTATTAGACATAAAGCAAACAATACTATATTTTATGGGGAGGTTTATGTATGGAGACATAGGATGTCAATGCTTTTTGGAAGGGATTCATATGTAATAACAGTGCTTACCTTGGGACCTGAGGAACAGCAGACAGCAGTTGGGGTGTTGTTTCCTGTAATGTTTTTGTGCATTTAAGGGCAAATGTATTTATATATTACTTGTGTAATTAAAAACTTACGGAAAAAGCCCCAGAGTAGACCATCTTCTCCATTTTATAGACAGAAAACTGATACTTGCTTGCCAAGGATCTCAGATAGCATGGTAAACCCAAAGGTGGACTTCAGCATGCTTGTTTGCTTGTTTCAGGGCAGTCACTTTCTTTACCATGCCCAGGGAAACTCATCAGGCATTTTAGGTGAAGATGTGGTAGCCATAGATACATAACAGCCTCAGCATCAGGAGGCTGTGGCTGCCAAGGAAAGGCCAGCTGGCACTGGGCTGGGATTCTCTAGGTCCTGGCTTGATTAAACTTGCATTTGTCAATATTCAGCAGTGAGCAGGACTCCAGAAACACTAAAATGAGGAAGAGACAGGTATCTCTCAGAATTAATTTATAATGAGAAATATAACCACATGGGCTGATGTATTTCTATCAGCCTGGCAACAACATTTTCTCCAGGCCAGCAAGCTACAGGGGAAGCCAAATAATAATTGGAAATCCACTTTGTAACTTACCATGAGCAGTCACTAGGTGGAATTATTTGAAGTCTTATGATCAGCACATTCTCCCTGAGGGCAGAATGAGGAAGTGCTTGGTGAGTGTGGAATCAGAAGGAGAGGATTTACATTAATCAGATATTTCATGGTTTCTGGTTAAGCTAATCGGCTGTATCAGCTCTTAATGGGGATCAGGTTACCAATGGGACTGGAATGTTGCAGTCTTCATTGGCTGAGGCTCCCTGGGCCTGTCTGGATGGGTTCTAATTCTGTTTGTGCCTCACAGGCTCCTTTTTCTATGCTTTGTTGGTTTTCTTCTATAGCCGCTGTCTCAGATATGTTAATATCTTCACTCATATCACCATTTTGCTGGGATTTAATTTGTTTTCCTTTGTAGCTCTGTTCTGATCTATTTTGCATTGCACTTATAGTCGAATGCTTGTTTTCATTCAGAGTTTCTGCACTTGGGATTCTCTTGCATTATCCTCTGATTTCCTCCTTCTCCACGGTCCTTGGTCATTCAAATTGCAACAGCTTAAATGTCAGCTTGTTAGAAAGGCCTTCCCTGAGCCCCCGATCTAAAAAGCCACTCATTCTCCATCATTTCACTTTGCTTTAGTTTGTGCATAATGCTTACTGGCTTATTAATAAGTGATATTTACTGTTTCCATCTTTGTGTTTTATTATTTTTTTATTGAAGTATGGTCAGTTTACAATGTTGTATCAATTTCTGGTGTACAGCATAATATTTCAGTTATACATGTAAATACATATATTCCTTTTCATATTCCTTTTCATTAGGTTACTGCAAGATATTGATGATAGATGCCTGTGCTATATAGTAGAAACTTGTTGTTTATCTACATCTTTGTGTTTTAATATTTGATTGTTTCTTCCATTAGGATACAAACTCCATGAAAGTAGTGACCTTGTCAATCTTTCTCCTGTTCTATTCCCAGCATCTAGAACATGGTCTGGCATTTGATAGGTTCTCATGAAAGCTTGCTTGCTTATTTGCTGAATGAATTCTCTATCAAGAGACCAATAGTGCTTTTGTAATTTATGAGTTCTTGAGAACATCTTATTGCAGTCCCAAATAATATGACAAAGTTATCTTCTTAGAAATGAACCTGGCCAGGAATCTACAAGTCTACAATCCTCAGTGGGTGTCAGGCTCATGCAGTAAAGAGGAAGGTTGGTGGGGAGGATGGGTTTGTTCAGAAATGTCACCCAAGTGATAGTTGTCCTGCAGTGAGGACTCACTCAACAGTGGAAGCAGATGCCTCTAAACACCCAAATGCTGCCCAAATAACAGATTCCAGTGGAGATCCTCCAGAGAACTGTGGCATTTACTAAACAGGAGAGTTGTATGCCACATTGGTGCCATGGCCTTAAAGTATTAGGATGAAAGATAATCCTGTGAGCCAAGGGGAATGGCAGACATGGTCAGGCTAGTGAAGGGCTAAGACTTGAATATTCCCAAGATATTTGCATTTCATCAGATTTCAGAGCCTTTCTTCAGAGTCAGAAAGTCACCACTCCCCTCATCATAGGGTACTCACCTCTCATTGGGTGGGGCAAATCTCAAAAGGAATAAAACAGACCCCTGTCTAATGGTGAAGGAGACTGAATTTTCCTATGTGCCATCCAGGGAGGGATTACTGATAAGGAGATATCCATAAGGTGGGTGATGATTGCAAATATTGATTTTTTTTATCTTTCATCAGACCTTTTGCAATAAGATCCTAGGCTTAAAAAAGTTGTGTTGCTATAATTTGGCTCAAGGAAATAAGAATATAATAGACATGATACAAGTGTGCAGTTGAGAGAAGTCTGTTTTTGTTGTGTGAAATCTATTTTTTGAATCGATTTTTGAAATATGGAAGGTTGTGGGATGAAGTATAGAATCACTCTTAATTTAAAAGTCACTAAGTTTGTGAATATCTGTGAGATAAGTAGAATAAATAAATTCTAACGGGAGATTAAAATAGATTGACATTACGGGGGTAGAGCTATGTGTTTTGGTTCTGCATAATATTTAACCCCTTTTCAGAGATGAAGGTCTTAAAAATCAAGTTTTGTTTAGATTATAATACTGTGGTATATGTTCAGTTAAGATGAATTAGGTAGTGGTATTAAAAATGTGGTTTCTATCATAATTATCTGGTAAGGAGAAGAGATTTTGCTTTTAAAAATATGTTATGCCTGTGGTATTTTACAGAACAATTATGAATAATAATAAAAATTTAATATGCATTTAGCTTCTTATGATAGAATTAGTGGAACATTACATTTCTAGATCTATTGGTCATTTTATTTTTACTCCCTTCTGTAAGGGATTTATAATTCA